GGGAACACGTCCATCGGGCTCTGACCGTGCTCTCTTGTCCCCCAGCTTCCCGTGGAGGATGACATCGACCTGAGCGACGTGGAGCTGGACGACTTGGGGAAGGACGAGCTGTGAGCCGCAGCAGAGGCTTCACGTGCTTTTCTTTTCTTGGGAGCAAGCGGGTTCTCAGCAGTAAAGGAGCCTCCTTTACCGTCAGGTGACTCTACCAGTGGCCTTTACCCAGGACGTGGCTCTTGATGGGTCATCTGAAGACACTGTAGCGCTGAACTGTTGCCTCTCAAGAAAACACGGGAAAATTCTATGAATTGTAACCAGTGAATCGGATTGTACGTAACATCTGGAAGGAAGCTGGGTGGTTGACATTCTCCTCCGACTGCTGCTTGAATGTTCTTGGAGGCTGGATCTTAAACAGGTTTTTTAATGTGATCCCTTTATTTGAATATGAATGGCTTTTTCCATTAAAGAATAAAAATATTTTGGACAATGCCAATAAATCTATGAAGTTAGTGTCCACGTTGTAAATTTAGCCTGGAGCCTCGCCCGTAAATTAACATGGTGAAGCGATGACCCTGACATCTCTCCCTGGGTGCCAACCACAGTGCCCACGTCACCCGGAGAACAGCTGCGTGAGGGGCCACAGGGTGTCCGTATTAGGAGGGCAGCTGGCCCTTGCCCAGCCCAGGGTCCCCACGTGGTTGCCAGGCTCACAGAACACCAGGCAGTGCACATTCGTTAAAAAAATGAAGTTTGGGATTATATCAGAATATAAGAGGCAGCATTTTATTGTAACTTACAAAAATAAATACAGCTGTAACTGACTCATGAGCAGTTTCTCTGGAAATGTGAATCTGCAGGGCGTGGGGCCTGCTCTCTGGCTGAGGCGGAGACAAGCCGGCAGGAGTCTGCGAGCGCGAGGGCGAGCTGCGCTGCGGCCGCGGCCCGTCCTAGTCGAGGAGGCTGAGGTCGATGCGGAAGTAGACGTACGGGAAGTAGTCCTGATTGCCCAGCTGCAGCCCGGGGATGTCCACAGAGGCCTGCGGAAGCAGATGGGCCCCGTGCTAAGCGTCTAAGCCGGCGTCCTGCTGTCTAATCTGTTTATGAGGAAGCTCTGCAGGCATTGGCCAGACGTTCCGTCCTGCACAGCATCCCCATGCATGCACGCACACACACACGCGCGCACACACACTCTAGCACTGTGTACGGTGGGTTTTCCTTCCAGGCCGGCACGTGTGTTGGCCGACCGGGCGACCTCACAGGAAGCGCAGCTCTGGGTTGGATACCTACATCCAGTATACTCGCAGCAGCGACTTCATCCAGGTGTCTGAAGACAGAGTTCAGAACCTCGCGTAAGCGTTTGGTGGAGGACTTCTTATGCGGCTGCAGGAGCACAGCCTGGAAGTTCACCGGCAGGCCGTACCTTTTCAGATAGAGTTTGTCAGGACGTACACAAGGGGAAAATGAACCTGGCCAGAAATTCAGTCAGTTCTAAGAGTAGTGAGCCAGCAGGTGGCGTGGAGGTTAAGGCGTTGGGTCCCACATGGCCAACTGCGGTTCGAGTCCCAGGCCCAGTAGCTTGAGAAAACATGCCAGGTGCAAATGCGTGCATGCCCAGAATCCCAGGAGGAGAAGGGATTGTAGTGTAGCCACACCCCCAGGGGGTGATTACTCATTTTCCCTGGACCCTGTGGTAAAAACTTCTAAAAATAAAATAATAAAGCAAAATAAGTTTTGTGGTTGGTTTGGTTTTTGTTTTGGGCTGCCTCAAGGGTTGGGCTATGGAGTAAGCACTGGGAGATCTGGGGACCCTGGAGTGGGGACAGCAGCCGGTTGAGGGGCCCATGGATTCGTGAGTGAAGCAGTCAGAGCACGGTGACACTCTTCCCAAGTCAGAAAAGCAGGAAAGGGACGATGCAGAGGAGAGGAGGGACGTGGGCACAGGAGGGTGGGACTCTGGCCCAGGACAGCTCCCGCCCTCCCCACCCGCAGGACACCCAGGCGGGATGCTCCGAGCACCTGAGCACTGACTCCACGAACACTCGCAGGGCCTTTATGTGGATCCAGGCGATAAAGGCTTCACTGAAGTTCACCTTGAGCCAGCGCAGCAGGGGGCCCTGCAGAGACAGGGGACAGGTGACCCTCCTGGGCACCCCACCTGACACCAGTGAAGAAAGGACACGGGCTTGGATGAAGCGAGCCCGAGCTGAGCAGAAGCATAGTCGGTCGGACCAGCCCTGGGCAAGGCTCGGGACGCGGCATCCAGGGCTCCTGGCATTGGAAGCTCAACGGACAGCCACCCGGCCACTGCAGGCCAGGGTGGGGAGCTGGCATCCCCTGAGCATGGGGCTTTCGGCAGGTTAATGGCTTCCTCTGACACTATG